CGAATCTAGCTATTGGCCCATTCTCTCCATCTTACTTTAATTTCCCCTACCCTATCCTGTACTTGGCTACAGAAAGTGGCGAGCCAGCCAGGAGGGTTTGCCGAGTTGTTAGTCCACCCAAAATTTAATAAAACAATTAAGAGTGCCTGGAGCTTCACAGTGACTTGTATTTTTTCTATTGGCACTTTTACGTGTCCAAACCATGGAAGTTGTGAAAACAGAGAATGTTAAAGTTCAAAATGCTGTCTTGGTCAGTGGTTTAACTAACACAGACATTGATAAAGAAATAATTGAGTTCTTAGAAGCTTTCGGTCCTGTCAGTAGGCAGATTAAGCTACCAACTGGTGGTCAGATTATTGTGGAATTTCAACATGAGGCTACTGCTAAAGAACTAGAGAAAAGATATTTGCCTTATGACAGACCTTGCACTGTGAAACCTGAAGTTGTCTATCACATTCGAGACCTAGCCAGTGCGTATAGCATTGAAACCAGCGCATCAGCTACTGTAACTTACCTGTCACAGCTCAAAGATGTGGCAGCACGAAGCAACCGATCGTTTAAAGACCTTTTGATGGATGAACTAGCTAAAATTGGGGAGTCATTGGGAGGGGATGTTCACACAGTTGAGCCTTCCACTGAACAAGAGCAAGTGCCCTACAGTGATGAGGCCCTACCTTCTCCCCCTTTAACACCCAATAGCAACCATGTAAGTGCCTTGAATACTCACCCACCGGCAGAGGCTGAGAAACAAACCCCTCAGATTCCCACCAACCTTTTAAGCACACCTGAAGTGCAGCGGGTTATTGTAGAGCATATTGTTAAAAGCAGTGAAGTTATTCCCCCACCAAACTCGCAATACAGACTGAAACCTTTTTCAGGGAGAGTTCCACATCCTCCTTTCGAAACTGACTATGACACTTGGCGCAGCAGCGTAGAGTTTTGCTTGACTGATCCCTCGCTCACCGAAACTCAAGTTGTGCGAAAGATTGTTGAAAGTCTTTCACCCCCTGCAGCGGACCTGGTGAAAGCTCTTGGTCCAAAAGCAAACCCCAAAACTTACCTTGAACATCTTGATTCTGCCTATGCAACTGTAGAGGACGGTGACGAACTCTTTGCTCGCTTCTTAAACACCAATCAAAATGGAGGTGAAAAACCCTCACATTACCTGCAAAGATTGCACACAGTGTTAAACCTAGTCATAAAAAGAGACGGAATTGCTTCTAGTGACATCAATAAACAGCTCCTGAGACAGTTTTGTAGAGGGTGTTGGGACAGCTCATTGATTGCAAACCTTCAACTTGAACAAAAGAAAGACGACCCACCTCATTTTGCAGAGCTACTCCTCCACCTACGCACCGAGGAGGACAAACAGGCAAGTAAAGCAACCCGCATGAAACAACATTTGGGGATCCAAAAGACTCGTGTTTATTCTAACGTGCAAACCACACGCTCTCAAGGTAGGAACGATTATGAGCATGAAATGGACAGCAATTCGTCTGACCTCCAGAAGCAAATTGCTGACCTTAGGTCTCAAATCGCACAGCTCAGAGCTGATAAAACAGAGAAAAGATCGCAGAAACTTCAAAGGGAAGCAAAAAGGAACACAAGTACCAAAACTCAGAACAAGCCGGGACAGGTACCACAAATTGCTGCAGTGTCAGCCAAACCCAAACCTGGATACTGTTTCAAGTGTGGAGAAGATGGTCATATCGCTTCCAGCTGTAGTAATGATCCCAACCCAGCATTAGTAGCAGCTAAAAGGAATGCCCTCAGACAGAAGCAGCGAGAATGGGAAATATCCAGACCAGTTGATGAGTCATTTAATTTAAACTAGAAGGAGCCCCTGTCGCGGGACAGATGGGTGCTAAATCTGAACCAAGTCCCACTGAGAAAAAGACAACAAAAGCCCAATGTGAAACAGCTAATGTTCACTCAGTGCCTAAACTTCCCAAAAGACTTGTGGGTAGAAAATGCACAGCCAGAGTTGTTATCAATGGCGTTGAATGTAGTTGCTTGCTCGACTCAGGCTCTCAAGTAACCACTATTGCCAAATCCTTCTATCAAGAACACTTACCTGATCATCCTATAAAACCCATCAGTGATCTCCTAGAGGTCGAAGGTGCGAATGGTCAGACAGTCCCTTACTTGGGATACATTGAGACGAGTATCATGTTCCCCAAAGATCTCGATCAGTCAGAGCTTGAACTATCTACTCTTGCCTTAGTTGTCCCTGACATTCGCTCAAACTCAGACACACCTCTACTAATTGGCACAAATACACTTGACCCCTTATATGAGCATCTTTGTGAGAACACCTTACCTGACTTTAAGGTACTCCCTTATGGATACCAACAAGTGCTAAAGACATTAGCATCCAGAAAAAGACAAACTGACAGTGGCAAGATCGGCTTGGTAAAACTTCAAAGTAGAACCCAAGAAGTCCTTCCTGCAAATCAAAAGCTACTAGTGGAAGGTTTTATGCATGCTAGCCACGCTAAGCCTGAACAGTGTGCACTTATTGAACAGCCCACTACCGGCTCCCTACCCGGTGGTGTGTTTGTAGATTGTTGCCTTATATCTCTGCCAAAGCATGGACCTTATAAAGTTCCTGTGTTGCTGAGAAACGAGACTAACCATGACATTACATTGCCCACTAACTGTGTAATTGCTGAGTTAGTTGCCCCTGACTGTGTCATGCCATGTCCTGAGCCTCAGAAAGGCGACCAAAAGGTGTCGGCAACGTGTAACTCTCAGCAGCAGACTTCAACCTCAAGGCCCCCTCTCAGTTTCGACTTTGGTGAATCACCACTATCTGAAGAGTGGAAAGAGAAGATAGCTGAAAAGCTAAACACCTTCTCTGATGTTTTCTCACACAATGATCTTGATTTTGGGCATGCCACACATGTAAAACATCACATCAACTTAAAAGACGAAACCCCCTTCAAACAGAGATCTCGCCCGATTCATCCCCATGATTACGAGGCAGTTAAAAAGCACTTACAAGCCCTCTTAGATGCAGGCATAATCAGAGAATCAGAATCTCCATTCTCATCACCGATAGTGGTGGTCCGCAAAAAGAATGGTGATGTGCGGTTATGCATTGATTTTAGGAAGCTTAACTTGCAGACCATCCGCGATGCCTATGCCCTGCCAAACTTAGAGGAGTCATTTTCTGCTCTTGCAGGATCTCAGTGGTTCTCTGTGATGGACCTTAAGTCAGGGTACTATCAAATCGAGATGTGTGAAGAAGATAAGCCAAAGACAGCCTTCGTGTGCCCCTTCGGCTTCTACGAATTCAATCGTATGCCCCAGGGAATAACAAATGCCCCAAGCACTTTCCAAAGGCTTATGGAAAAGTGTATGAAAGACATCAATCTGAAAGAAGTGTTAGTCTTTTTGGATGATTTGATAGTCTTTTCCAGTTCCCTTGAAGATCATGAGACCCGACTCATTCATGTTCTTGAGCGACTCAGAGAGTACGGGCTGAAACTCTCGCCCGACAAATGTCGTTTCTTCCAAACATCAGTCCGTTATTTAGGCCACATTGTATCTAGAGACGGCGTAAAGACTGATCCCGAAAAAACTGAAGCACTCAAGACCTGGCCGAGACCCCAAACATTAAAAGAACTCCAATCGTTTCTTGGTTTTACCGGTTATTACCGGAGATTTGTCAAAGATTACTCAAAAATTGTCAAGCCCCTCACCTCCCTCACAGCTGGCTATCCTCCGAGACGAAAACATTGTAAAAACCCACCCAGTGATCCAAAGTATCTGAACCCCAAAGAGCCCTTCGGTGATCGTTGGGGACCAGAGTGCCAGAAATCATTTCAAATTATTATTGAAAAACTCACCACCTCACCAGTCCTTGGGTATGCTGATGCAAAGCTACCTTACCTGGTACACACAGATGCCAGTACAACCGGACTTGGGGCAGCTCTTTATCAAGTGCAGAATGGAACCACACAGGTTATAGCCTATGCAAGTCGTGGTCTATCCCGTAGTGAAGCTAGATACCCCGCCCACAAGTTAGAATTTCTAGCTTTAAAGTGGGCCATAACTGACAAGTTTCATGACTATTTATATGGAAACACATTCACAGTCATCACCGACAACAACCCATTGACTTACCTTCTGACCACAGCAAAGCTTGATGCCACGAGTTATCGTTGGTTGGCTGCATTGTCCACCTATAACTTTGACATTAAGTACAGAGCTGGGAGACAAAATCTTGATGCAGATGGACTATCTAGGAAACCACATGACAAACCTGAAGACGATCCAGTTTTTACCCAGGAATGTCAGCGCATTGATAAGTTCAGATCCCATCTCTTGTCCTCAGTCAAAGATGTCGAGCTCCAACTTCAATCCGATACCGTGATGGCAGCCTGTCAAAGACATATGGCCATGGATCAGACTGAACCCTCTTGTGCTCTAGTCCAGTCACTTGCCATGTCTGCAGTTGCCATTCCAGACATGTTTCAAGAAGAAGGCAATGATAACAATCTCCTAGCCTTACCCAGATACACCCATACTGATCTTGTCAACCTGCAGAGAAAAGATCCAGCCATTAGTAAAGTCATCAAGCTGCTGGCAGCTGACTCACGTCCACCAGCTGATACTAAGTCTGAGTCTCACGATGTTCTCTTATTTTTAAGGGAGTGGAAACGTCTTGACCTCCAAAATGACTTACTGTACCGGAAACGCCAGTTGGGGCCAGAGACCTTGTTGCAGTTAGTCCTTCCTGATTCCTTACGCCCTACAGTTATGCTTAATCTTCATGACAACATGGGGCATTTAGGGGTCGAACGGACTCTGGAACTCATTCGGTCCCGTTTCTACTGGCCAAAAATGGCAGTTGATGTTGAAAAGAAAGTGAAAGCTTGCGAGAGATGTGTCCGCAGAAAAGCCCTGCCAGACAAGGCTGCTCCTCTGGTAAATATTAAAACTTCCAGGCCCATGGAGCTAGTCTGCATGGACTTCCTCTCAATAGAACCAGACAGTAAAAACACTAAAGATGTCCTAGTGATCACGGATCATTTTACAAAGTATGCTGTGTCCATTCCAACCAAAGACCAGAAAGCCACCACCGTTGCAAAGAGCTTATGGGAGAACTTCTTAGTTCATTATGGCTTTCCAGAGCGACTTCATAGCGATCAAGGGAGAGACTTTGAATCACGTACAATCAAAGAACTGTGCTCTCTGCTCGGTATCCGCAAAGTCCGAACAAGTCCTTATCATCCTCGTGGCAACCCTGTTGAGCGATACAATCGCACGTTACTCAGTATGCTTGGTACCTTGAAAGACACCGAGAAACATCACTGGCGTGACTTTGTAAAACCACTTACTCACGCTTATAACTGTACAAAAAATGATGTAACAGGCTATTCTCCTTATGAGTTAATGTTTGGTAGACAGCCTCGCTTGCCCATCGATATTGCCTTTGGCCTGCCACAGCCAAACAAGCCACAGTTGACTCACTCTCAATACGTCAAGCAGTTGAAAAGCTACCTCGAACAGAGCTACGAAATAGCCATCAAAAACTCCCAGAAAGTAGCAGACAAAAACAAGAAACGGTTTGACAAAATCATCCGTGAATCCACACTACATGTGGGAGACCGAGTCTTGGTTCGAAATCTCCGCCTGAGAGAGAAGCACAAATTAGCGGACAAATGGGAGCAAACAGTGTATATCATCACCAAACAAATGGAAAACTTACCAGTATATACTGTAAAACCGGAAAACGGAGATGGACCCAACAGAACACTCCACAGAGATCTGTTACTTCCCTGTGGATTTCTCTCACCAACAGAGCATGAACCCGAGCGAGTCACAAAAACTAACAGACCACGCACAAGACAAAGTTCAGCTTTGGAAGTTGACTCTGACCAAACACTTGAGGAAGAGGAAGATGAGTTTTATTACCCTGAACCTCCACAAGTGAAAGACAGACATTTCTACCAAGTATGCGCCATGCCGCCAACACAAGGATTCAAACAAAACAAAGATCCTGTAAATGATAACGAACAACCTAACACATTACCGGACATGACAGACTTACCTGAAAAGGAAACTGAGAACGAAACTGAAACATACTTACCTGAAAAGGAAACTGAGAACGAAACTGAAACATACTTACCTGAGCAGGAAACTGAGAACAAAACTGAAACATACTTACCTGAAGGCGAAATTGGAAGTTCAACTGACACCAACTTACCTGAAATGGACCGTGAAACAGACCTACCTCAGACAGAACGTGAAAGTGAAGCAAACGTATCACCAAGTGAAAGTGACACAAGCCTACAAAATGACACACCAAGTGAGTCTGAAACAGACACTCGAAAAGACAAAAATGTTTTGTCGACCAGTTTGTCAGATTCACCGTTGTCAGAGAACTCAACTCATCAACTTTCACGTGAAAGACAAGTTGAAAACGATGATGAACCTGAAACCTTGAAAACAGAAACACAGATCAGAAGATCTGAAAGAATTCGCCAACCATCCCAAAGACTCACTTATCCTCAGCTAGGTAACCCACTAGTAACAGTGGTTAAATCACTCTTTCAAGGATTGAACAAAGCTTTCATCGACTCCCTTGCTCATGATGTTACCTATTCCACCAGAGCCATGCACGGGGACGTGCATGAGATTTAAGAGGGGAGGATGTAACCCAGTGAGTTTACACGACTCAGTAATGCACTACAACATGTTATTGTTAATTGGGATTTATCATTACTCTGTTAATCACTGAGTTGATCAAAAATAAATCAATAATAAAAGATAAATACTATAAATATAAGAATAAAACCCAAAGAGTATATTTAACACCCCTACTGGTTAGGAAGG